CCTGATATGTGTATATGTTAGCATAGAGATCTTACAGTGCCCTTTGCTGGCGACGGTGAAGGGAAGAGTCAACTGACTGTGTAACCTATAGAGAGAAAGTAATGCTAAATATTAACCCTAACCCAATAACCACCAAACCGGCCAATCCGAGGAATGGCTCGGGGAATGGATCGAGTCTAGAGGATACCGAGAAGACATCATATTGGCCACCAAATATAGCAGCGATTCTCGATCTGTTGACCACAACATCATCCGTTCTAATTGCGGCTGAAATGGCACCAAATCCATGAAGCTCTCTCTGGAGCTCGCTTTAAAGCGACTTAAGATTTCCTACGTCGATATTCTTTGTGTCAACTACTGGGATTATGCGACGCCGTCTGTAGAGGATGTCATACAATCTCTAAACGATCTTATCATAGCTGGGAAGGTGTATTATCTTGGTATATCTGGCGCTCTGGCGTGCATTGTTACGACAGCCAACCAGTATGCTAATATGTCAGGCCTGTACAGGCCCCTTTGTCATCTACCAAGGAATGTGGAATGCTGCACTACGTGGCTTTGAGAGGGATATAGCAGCTGCTCAAGATGTGATGCCGACCAGGATTCTTGGAAATTTCGATTGAATACAAAAACTTGGGTCTCTTGATAAGCAATGATATTAGCAATAGATATATTTAGATAGTTCTATCTAAAGCCTCTGTTCTCATCACATTTCACATCGAGGCTGATCTGCGACTCCCTACAGAGCTGGAGAATCTGCAAAGCATGATGCGGCCATCGCATCTGGGTACCGCTTCCCTAAAACCTGTGCATTCTCGCATACGTGCCGGATTGCGCTTTGCTCCTCGGGGGCCAGCTGGATGTGCAAAGCTCGCAAGTTCTCCTCCAGGCGTTCCTGTCGTGTGGTTCCTGGAATGGGGAAAATATCATCTCCATTGGCTAGTAGCCAGCTTAAACAGAGCTGCGATGGTGTCAGGCTCTTCTGCTTGGCGATCTCGGCAATCTTGTCCACAATCTCCAGGTTCTTGGGAAAGTTCTCTTCACTGAACCGCGGGAGGATCTTGCGAAGGTCATTGGGGTCAAAGTCCGCACGCGATCTGATGTTGCCTGATAGGATGCCACGGCCTAGAGGGGAGTATGCAACCACTGCAACCCCAAGCTCCCGCGCCACCTCGAGCAGCTTGAACTGTGGGGACTCAATCTCCAGCGCAAAGGGCGAATACTCCACCTGCACAGCGGAGATGGGGTGCACCTTGTGGGCGCGTCGGAGTGACTCGGCGCTGACTTCACTCAGGCCTAGCAGCTTGATCTTTCCCTCTTCCTTCAGCTCTTTCATCGCCTGCACCGTCTTTTCAATTGGCGTCTTTTGGTCAAGGCGGTGGCAGTAATACAGGTCGATCTGATCGACGCCGAGTCTTTCAAGTGACCGTGTGCATGCGGCTTTGCAATAACCCAACCCGGTGAAGAATCTATGCCCCATGAGCCATCTGCAAGCGTTTTGTTGGCGAACTTGGTGGCGAGGAATATGTCCTTGCGCTTTGCAGGGTTTGCATCAAACCAGCGTCCGATGAGCTCCTCAGAGTCGCCGTACATGTCGGCTGAATCACGATTTAACGACTGGCTACGAGCTTAGAAGGTGGCACTCACCTGTGTCCCAGAACGTTTCGCCGAGCTCGTAGGCCTTGTCGAGCAGAGCCATGCGCTCTGCTTCGGGTTTCACAGGTCCGTAGAAGGCGCTAATTCCCATAAGGCCGAGGCCAATACGGGGAACGCGGGGGCCATTACGGCCAAGCGGGCGCATAGGAAGGGACGGCATTTGAACGTGAAGACCTCTGAAGGTAGAATCAGGTGTGACAATGATGGTCTGCTAACCAGGTGATGTCCGAGAATTAGTAGTGATGCCCGTCGGGACAAGCTATTCCCCTAAGTCCGAAGATGGATAAAAACTGCCTTTTAGCTTGTCGGAATAGGAGATTTCTTATGTCCAAAAGTCTATGACTAAGTATTTTTACTATTAGCCTTTGTTATTTCCTCCAATGACTCTTGCATATCGGACTCTCGGCCTTAGATGTCAAGCGTCCTTTTAATACTCTATCGTCAGAAGAGAACCATATCGCTGCGAGCTGCCAGGATCTGGGTCTTGAACCCAGTTTTCTGGGCGAAGTGTAAGTTTCTCTGTTCCGGAAGCGAGCTAGTGTCAACCACGGCAGTGTGGCCATGTACTTTGAGACCTTGATTGCGTTCCACCTGTTACGTCAACACGACTTGGAAGCCAAGGCCGGCCGAATCGCAACTCTAGCCGAGACCAATGCCTTACTCGCCGCAGTACTTGCCTTCGCGGTCAAGAAAGCTGGGGGCAACGCCGACATTGAGTTTAATATCGGTCCCCGTCTACCTACTGGCTGCTCACACCTCGACATCCTCGCCAGAACGTCGCTGGACTCCGCAGTCGCCGAATGCGAAGACAGGCCCCTCCGGGCCCTACCGCTTTGTTTGCTGCAGGGCTTGATCCTTGGTACTCACTCATTGTTGGTCCAAGGTGTTAGCGGACGGGCGCCGAGGTATCTTGGCATTTGTGTTCTAGAGCGCATACTAGTTCAACCTCCATCTGATTGACGCCGGGTGATCAGCTGGAGCGAGCACTTCATATGCTACCCGCTGGTGCCAAGATGAAGAAAGGCGGCGAGCGTGGTGGGCTATCTGAGACATGGATGTCTTCTCCAGTGTCATAGGGCGGTGTCCGGTCAGCGTTGACTGGTCCCTGAATGAGACTTTCCTTCCAGCTGAAGACGAGCGATGGATCCGATCCGCACCACAGAAAAGCTGCTATCTCAACTATAACATGGCAAATCGCTGGAAAGCCTTGTCCGCCACTGGAAACAAATCACCAAGAGCCTAGCTCACTGTTGTCAATTGCTATGTAAAAAGACGCCCAGCGTATCACCAGCCTGACGGGAGTCGAAAAGCCTAACAGAAAACACGCCGACGACTCAGTCAATCGCCTTGTAGCCCTGATCAACAATCTACACTGCACATCTGTATGCATGCCCGAGGCAGTGAAATATCGCTACCAGTATCTCCATTTCGGCTCGTGGGAGCCCAATCGGATGAGGGCCGCGGCAACTCGGTTACAACATGCTGGTATATACAGCGCCCATTGCATTATACAGCTGGCCAAGCTGATGGTTGATCGGTACTGGGTTTTACAATCTACCAGAAGCTTTTCATCTCCTGACGCTGAACAGCAGCGACCGCCAGATAGTGCCAATAACGATAACAGCTGGTATGTTGTTTATAAAGGTCTGTCGCCAGCCAGTGTCTCGATGGCCCTGGCCCACTATAGTTTCAGTTGAATTTTTAGCGACATGCTACCCGGCAGTCCATCCTTGTCCCTTACTTGTTTGGCGCCAGGGCGATGTTATTACAGCTGAGACTGGCCGAGACTGGCCCTACTATTAGTGAGACTTAGTCGTTAGGCCAGAGCATTGTCAAGACGATGCTACGTAGTGTCGACTTGTGCTAGAACGTCACAATCTGTATAATGATATCTCTCCATTACACAACACCAGGCCAATCAATAATCGTATCATCAAATCCTTGTGGCCTGAACTTATGATTTACTGTGCGAAACATCTTGGAGATATTGGCTAGAGTAGCCTTCTCATCTTCGTTCAGATTATAGGCCGTAAGCCTCATCAGCTCCTCCAACCACAAAGACCAAAGACTTGTCTCCCATCCGCTAATTGAAACGAGACTGGTGCCGTCGCAGCCTGATGAAAGAAGCATTTCAACCATGTGAGAGGAGCTGAAACGTGAATCTGCTGGCTGGTCGTTAAATTTGCCACTGAGAAATTGTTTTCTGAGGGCATGGTATAGAAGGGGCTTGCATTCGCGCTGACAGTCATGAGCTGATGTTGTGAAGCTGGGATGACTCTTAACAAAGTTCAATGCACCTGCTTCGACGGCGAGTAGTAATGCGATAGGTGGACAATTATTCGTATACGAAGGTTTGGACACCTTACTAGAGTTTGATGCCTTTGCAAGTCTCTTAAGTGTAAGGCATGAGCCTCTCCATTCTGATAGAAGTGAAATAAAGGGCGAAAGATGGAACAGGCAGTTGTTACTGTCAGTGGGTCTCTGTTTGTCGGCTTCTGCTCCCCACCAGAGTCCCTCCTCGAAGAGGTCCATGGCCGCGACTTGATTATCCTCACAATACTTCTCGACAGCCATATGTACACCGTATAGTGATAACGCTGTAGCTGGCTCAAATTCCGCGTCTTTTATCTGCAGGCAGTCAAGCTTCCATGAATCCTCATCGCTCAGGAACTCAAAGACTGTTCGGTGCATGAACATGACCTTTGCCTCTATTATGGCACCACCCGAAATTGCACCCTTGGAGGTCGCAAACTCTAATAATCCCCAGCATCGACTCCTCAGCCGACCTTCAAGTTCTTCACATATCTCCAGCTTGTCCTCAGAGTCAAGAGGCTCAATGCACACGGGATGCGCTTTATAGTCATCTACGAGTGCAAGGCCTAGCGCGTATAAGCCTTTCTGGAGGAATGGTGACTTGGTCTTCTGATACGTGTAGCAGATCTTTAGTAATTGAGCTCCTTGTTCTTGATGACGTCTGTGAACCTTGCTGAGCATATGCATGAACATGTCCTTGAGTTCTGGAGGGAGTTCGTCCACGCGACGCCGAATTTCTGAGAGGCGATCATGGTCATCAAAACCTCCACAAATAGACCGACAAGCGAGTATTATCCAGAGCCAGACTCCACAAGACTTATCAACAAGTTCACTCATCAAAGAGGCTGACTCGGTGGGATAGCGTCTCATGTGTCGTTTCATGGAGGGATGGCCTCCAACTTTAAACTCAACATATGTTTGTATGTCGCGTCGAGTGAGGTCTTGCAGCTTCATATGAGGGTACTTTCGGAAGGCAGCGACGCAGGACGGAATAGGTCTACTGGAGACGATGACTTTAGACTGCTTGTGCCGAGCCAGATTACTAATAAAGTTGATACTATCAGTGTACTCCCCAACAAGTTCATCAAGTCCATCGATGAAGAAGCAAACGTGTCCTATTCTGTCACCATTTGCTAAAATGACTTCAAATGCTTGCCGGGTCTCCGCTACCGAAGGTAAGGTGATATCATCATGAGTGGTTAAGTCCTTATCTCGCAGGCTAGACTCTCGTTCAAGTATTTCTTTCCACATATTAGGAAGTGCTTCTTGAATCAGCGACCTGTTCTTATCCAATATCTGGTAAAGTAATGTCCGGGAGAGTCCAGCCTGGCTTTTCTGGAGATCTGTTCCCAGGTTGGAAAAGAAGTAATGACATACGAGCAGTCGGCCTCTGTCAGCCCATTGGGATAACATCTGCGTGGTTTTGTGATGCCCAAAGACAAACTTCATCAGGGTTGACTTTCCGCTTCCAGCCTTCCCAGAAACCCAGTAGATACCGGAGCCGTTGAGAAGCCAAGACGGGAGATCATGCCAGGACTCGTTATCGTTTGAACCTTCGATTGCCCATTGAAGTGTGTCTTGGTGATTCTTGGAGATGCTTTCGGACCTATCGTTTATCATCCTGAACCATAGTGTGTTCAAAATACGATCCTGGCGCATTTCATCGAGATTCTGTTCTGTTGATTGAGCGATTGCTGTGTGGTTTCCTGTCGCTTCCTGGAACAACAAAAGCTTTCTCACATCCCTCTTAATGACCTCGATATCACTCTGGATCATCGAGCGAGCTGTTTCGGGACTTGATGGGGGAACCACTTGATCGAGCTTGGCCGTCAGTTCCGAGAGATCTTGGACTAGGACCTCAAACTTCTCTTTATCCCTGATCACCCAACGTGTCTTTTGGGCAACAGATGTTGTAGCCGTCTGACCTTGTAGTGCCTCGAGCCGTCTCATAAAACTCTTCATCCGCTGCTGACTGAACCTCCAACCAGACTGAGATGGGTCTCTTCTTTGACCGGAAGTTGCATGTTGTAGCGGAAGCGATCCGGTGAATAATTCTGAGGGCATGTCCGAAAAGTCATGCTCAAGACTTATAGAGGCTGAGATTGGGGGCAAGGTTGGTGTCTCAGTTTCATTTTCCAGTCGCAACCCATATCGTTGCTGTAACTGATTCGTATCTGCCAAAATCATTCGAACAGAACTAAGAATACGCAGAACGAGAGTCTGGGTACTCGGTTCATCGAGTCGCACGTCGTGATTAGGTTGAAGAAGTTTAACCCGGTCTGCCCACTGAAGGAGAAGGGCCTTTTCAATATCTAGCTTGATATCGAGGACTTGGTACTGACGGCCCATATGGCGCATATCGACAACGGTATTGAAAACGTCGATGGTATCCTTGAAAGCGCCGATAAGACCAGCGAGGCCTAAGACGCCAAGCGCGAGCCCAGCGACTTCAGCCATTGCGACATGTCCTGGTCCCGGCCTAAGAAGACGAGAACGGCTGGCGGCAGTTTTTTTTAATTTGTTAATAAGACTTTGATCGTTGTGACGCAGATCATCAGGCAACTGTCGTTGAACAGCTTCGGGCATGCGCACGGATGAGGGGTTGAGCTCAGCCTGGCTCGATCACCTGACGTGGCTGCTTATTCTCTCTTGTAACGTCACTTGCTATTCGTCAGTGGACCCATGCATATTTATTTCACGTCATGCAGGCAAGCTGTACATAGATCTATTGTAGATCAATGTCTTAGCAAGAGGCTATCGCGACCTTTCAGAAGTTTTTCGCTATAAGTTCATCGCAAGTGCAGTATCTGGTGCATATATCGCGTTTCAGAGTCAAGCAACTTGGTGTATGCGGCTCAGGTATAGCTCTATACGATGGCTATGGCTATATTTAATAACAGCAGATATGGCGCATGTCTAAAAACAGCCTCATAGAGACATGCAAATCTTCTCAGAAGGATCTAACAATTTCTATCATGCAAGAAGCTGCCTAGATTCTTATCTCGCTATATCAAGCTTGAGCATTGCCTTGTGACTCACTCAGTAGCTTTTGTTGAGGCAGTAAGAAGTCTTCCAGCAGGAGACTACTGCATGTTGCAGTGTTTAGCCTCAAAACTCCAGAACTGTCTTCATTATCATGATTCCACGAACCTCATAAAAAGAACTACTGACAGCTTTCTTAGCGGCAGAGTAGTGCATCAATTACTGAGAGAGCACTAGTTAGAGGCTTAGCCTGTGAACTATTGAATGGAAGCCTGCAGCGGCCATGGTGGTTGACAGCTCAAGTCTACTAGTTCACATGCTAACACGCACTATTGACTGTCTTCAGGTACTGATACGAGTAGCGCGACATGCTCATTTCCCAATCTTCCGTCTTGTTCTGAATGGAATTTTAGCGTAATGATAAAGGACGCTTCCCAGATCTTGAGCTGCTTTCTGGTTTGCCTGTATGTTGTCTCTCATTTTTCTAACTTTCGTCACTCGTTTATACCGCCATGCATTTGAGCATTCTTCAATTCTTGGCCGTTGGCCTAGCTGGTCTTGATGTTGCGGTCGCGGGCCCTTGCAAGCCTCGTTCTTCAGGTGGGTGGTGAGCCTTGTCTACTCGTTCCTTGCTGACAGCATTTGTGTAGCACCCGAGCCTTCTATTGCAACATCAGTAGTAACATCAAGTTTTGCCCTATCGTCCGACACCTCAGCCACTTTTGCCAGCACGACGACCGAAGCAGTCACTTCTGCTGACACAGCGACTGATATAACGACTGAGGTGACTTCGGCAGTCACTGAAACAGAGACTACCAACATCGAGGTAACCACTTCCTTCGATACGACCACTGAGGCTACTACTTTCGCTACCTCAACCGCGACCACCGAAGGAGCTTCTACCACCACAGCAGATACTACAACTGAGGCTGTGACGACTTCAGGCACAATCACTGCTTCATCTGAAATCACCGAGGCTCCTACTACCACTGAAGAGACAACTACTGCTGCCGCCACCACCACCTCCGTTCCTATGTTCCGACTCCTCCCCGCAATCAGCAATTACCAGGGCCAACCCATTCTCTCAAACAGAGCTCATTTCACTCCTCTTCTCTTCAACACCGTGCAAGGCTACACCGACGCTTACTTCACCATCGACGCCACTACCGGCCGCCTCTTGCTTGACGGCACTTTGCCCATCTGTGGCTACTTCCCTGGCGATGGCACCAGCGCATTCACTGTATGCGATGCCAGCGATTTCCCACCCCAGGAGCAGTACCTCACTTGCGAGACACCTACCTCGGGTAGCCAGATTGAATGCACTGTGCCTCTGATAGCATGCAGCCGGCTTGGATGTACTCAGCCTGGCACTCTCTGGGGTACTACATATATTGGTCCCTCGGGAAATGATCTCGGTATTAAAGCGCTTCTCGGCCCTCCTTCGATGCCAGGATACGTTCCTGTCCCATTGATAGTTACTTTTGGCTCGGATTAGATAAATCAAGCTCAGACTCAACCGTTACTCCATATTCTTCTTTTCTTACAAGTCGGACTTCATCAAGTGACTACGGCCTACAGCCATTCGAGAACTTTATATTCCCGAGATCTTCAGGCCGGGTCCTATGCAAGGCTCCTTACCGTCAACCTGATTATCCTGTTTTGCTCAAGAGCCGAGGATATACCTTTGTCTTACAAATAATATGCAGAGAACATAAAACTTTCCTCAGACCGTTGCATCTTCTCTAAACGTTGACCCTAAGGCTCAGATGGTTGTCAAAGTCGACAGTCCCGTAGTAAGGCTCCATACCAGCATTTCCAACGTTGACATACGTGTTCGATTTGAACACACCCTCTTTGGACAGGGCTACAAGCCAGTCTTTGATGTCGCCCTCGAAAATACCGCCCTCTTCGTTGCCAAACTGACTATCTTCAGGACACAAAAGAGAGGTCACTGTGATGCCGGTATCAGCGTTGACACCCTGGTACATTTTCCAGCCGTCTTTGCCAAAGAGACCATCAATGGTAGCGACAGGTCCCCCACCCCATCCAATGGGGACTTGGACGCCCTGCCAGTTTAACCAGAGCATGAGTTCCTGCACATTGCTGGAGGTTGAGTCTCCCTTTGTATCGCAGGTCATGAAGTCGTACACAACATTTCCTGGGAGGCGAGTCAGCATGAATATCTACATATTCCGCACGGAGAGGGTGCGGTATAGTGATTACATACCTTTATAGTCAGTAGTCTTACTAGTGGTCCACTCATACTTAGAAGGGATGCTCTTGATATCATTAAGCCTTGTTTCCAGACCCTGGGTAAGACCGATAAAGTCGTAGCCCTTGACGAGGTTCGTGCCGACATTAGGATCAATATCCCATAGGACGCTCCAGTGAATGGTCTGGTTATCGCCAGAACCTTCGTAGTCGTAGTAGCCGACGCAGGAAGAGCCTTCTATGGACTGGTAGTTGTAGTTCATGGAGAAGACAATCCATGGCGTGCCAAACAGGACCTCGGATTCGTTCGGTTTGCCGCAGAACTTCTTGGTAGGCTCCTTGAGAGCAGCCGTGGTGCTTCTCGTTTGTTGCGATGTCGATAAGGAAGCTGTGCTCTGTGGTGCGAGCTCTTGAGGCTGGATATCCCCGGCAGCAATGGCGGGGTCAGTTACTTGGGGTGTTTCAGTCGAGACAGCGGTTTGTGCTTGCCCAGACTTCGCTAATTCTACTGTTGCCGAAATACTGGCAATGATGCTGGAAGCATCCTCTGCTGTTGCGATATAAGGGTCTGTGGAGACATCAAGAACCAAATTGCCATTCTTAGGTCGTCCGTGGTGGCACTTGGAAACCCTTGCACTTTCAACTGCGGCAATAGCCGATAGAATGAGAACGAGCTTGGGGGAGGCACGCATCTTGAAGGTAGTAGAAGTCACTGAATCAAAGCTAGAGATAGGGACAACTTCAATGTCAGAGGAGGAAGAGAGTGTAAAGCTTCTTATAGCCAATACATTCTTCAGTTTCTTGTTTCGAATAGAGGGCAGAGCGCAGTGCAAGATCATTAACTCAAAACCAGCGGAAATTAGGGACATGCCGAGAACGTGCCTAATTTCCGGAGCATCTTTATATTTTTGTTAAAGAAGGAACCCGATATACTGTAACAACGCTTAGATCAAGAGCCACAAGTCCAGTGACACTTAATTTCCATGGCGGCTACATTGGCTACCCGAAAAGCTTGTTAGTTATAGGGCCTCTGGCCTTGAACGGTGGAAGAATCTCGTACAACGAACGGAACAATCACCGGCTATACGCGTATGTCTCAAAGCAGGGGTCGTTTTGTGGGCTTAAGGGACTAACAGGGATGTTTGAAACGACTAGCAAATCTGAGGCTGAACATGAACGGGACGCATTTCTTATGAAAACACGGCGATTGGACTTTAAATGACTGTTCTAGAAAACGACTGTTTGATGTTCGGGGAAGAATACAGATAATGGTAATAAAGTGATACCGAAGTGTACTGTACAATAGATAGCCCTACAATAATGTCTTCATCTGCGTCTTACCCTACAGCGCAATAACTAAAGTCGGCATTCTAATCTAAGTTGGAATATGGTAAGCCTCGAGTTGATTGCGAGCTGGGCCATGTAATTTTGATTAGACTGCCTAATTCATATATACACCAAGCAGTACGACCGCCTTTCAGCTGGCCTTTAATTATATTATCTACAATACAATGCCTATTTAGAAGAGAACAACATCAGCAAGTAGCAGACTGACTATGCATCTATGCGAGACCGAAACCGGCCTTTGTCATGGCATTCTTGGCACTCTGAGCACTAGCAGCAGAAGCAATAGTCTTTCCCTTGAAGCTGCCAAGGAAACCAGTGTCGTCACCAGGGAACGCTCCAGAGCTTCCAAAGGCGTTCATCTGGCACGCACGCCCGAGAGAGGCCTTGCAGGAGCTAGCAGATTCAGCAGTAGGGATAGTGAAGAGACGGCCCTTGGTTCCAGTCTTGAGTGGGTTCTTGACGTTCTGGAACGCGTTTCCTTCAGCGAGGACTTGGCCGTTCTCCTCGATCTCGAAAGCATGATCAAAGACATCGTGGAAATAGTTGTTGACGACGTGGAGGAGGGTGTTGCCAGAGACCTTGGGAGCGCGGCCGGAAACGTGATACATGTAGTTGCCTTTGAAGGTGATCAACTGAAAATTGTTAGTAAATCATCGGTCCAATGTTAAGTCTTTGCTACTTACGTCGCTCTTTCCGAGGAACAGGATGGCCCAGTAATGATAAGTGTTGCAGCTAGCAGACCAGGGGCTTACGCCGTCGATCTTGTTATTTGTAATGGAAACGCGGCCGCTGGCTCCAGTACCAAGAACGATGTGCTGGCGACCGATCAAGGATGTAGTGCAGTGATCAATCCAGATGTTATCAGTGCCATCCAAGGTTATAGCATCGCCACCCCAGACCAGGCTGGGGTTGAGGTCGGTGATATGGATGTTTTGAATGATGACATTCTTGACGCCATTGGCAAGACGAAGACCCTTGCCCTTGATGACACCCTTGGAACCGACACCGATGATGCTCTTGTTTGAGCCCACCATAAGAGGGTTCAGACCAGCCTTGTCATACTTGACCGTAACCTTCTGAGCACCAGGGTTATAGTTGGTGCACCACTGGTTCTTGTTGATAGAAAGCTGACAGTGTGCACCTGTACCCCACGGCGCACATCCAGTTTCAGTGGCAGAGCCCTCAGAGCCCTTGAAGTCAAAGGTTCGCTCAAGATAGACGATACGAGCAGTGTTATCCTTCAGATAGTTGGCGAGTTCCTGGTTGTTCTTGGGACGCACGATCTGACCACCCTTGCCGCCAGTAGTGCTGGAGGCGAATCCTTCGGCTTGAGTAGGCAGAGCGGCGAAGGTGGTAGGTAGGAATGCCACGACGGCGACGAAAACATCGCGTAGACGCATATTGGGCAGGTTGAGTATCAGGATTTACAAACGAATGTGAGAGGAATACCAGATTCCTGATTGATGTATATAAACAGGAAAAACGAGGGACTAGAAAATGAATGAATGAATGAATGATACTGCTTGGGCATGAGCTTGGTCTCTGAGCAGATCCCACAAGATATATAAGGCAACGCGCCTCCTGTTGACTCGTGATGTTGACTCAGTGTTAAGCTGGGTATTCTGGAAATTGCAGTCATCGCGCCGACAACTTGGCCAATTGTTCCGCCAATCTGTAACGCTGGACTGGTAGAATACGAACTGCCCACGGTTAGAATGAGCGGCGTGGTATCTGAAACAGCTACATGGCCCGACTAAGTGGTTCTAGAATGTTAGCTCCTTCGGGTTCATTTCGCATCGTCCAGTTTCAATTTTCTCAGAGCTGTAAAGATCACAAGGCTGAGGGCTTTTGAAAACTTATAAGCCATTGTCGAGCTAAAGAATATTTATTACTGAATATATTTTATATACGATTTGTCCTTGCTGATGTCAGAGATATGACTTTAAACTGAAGAGTTATCTTAATAGTTGTCCCCGAGGCTTAGTGGGTAGGTAAATCAATACGCGTATAGACAATGAGCTAGGGGATGTGGCCTGTTACAGACACCTAAAGCGGCTATTTATTGCTTCCTCCGTCCGTGCCAGTGGATCTCTTACAGATGGGATCCGTTAAAAGTTGCCTTCTGGTTATGATCTCGAAGGATATCCGACACGAGCAGGGACGTAAATCCAACGAGGGAACGATTCAATGAAGACTCATTGATCGCAGTTGGGAAATTTGAGAGTCGGGGTTAAACTCAATAATCTTCTCGACTCCTCAAATGATATTTCAAGTCTGACAGCCGGAGCCAAACTAATGCCAGAGCGCCATTCGAAGTCGAGTCTCGCTTGACAGTAGGTATCAGACACCTCTGAAGGCAGTTCTAGGGTATCTAGAATCTCAGCGAGAACATTTCTCTTTTATCACAGAAGGGTAAGTAAAAAGTTACCTTTTATTTTCTATACCTTTGTACTTTGGGCCTGCAGCTATTCTTAGCCGCCCATTCTTATCACAATGTCGCGGGTCATGAAGCCATGCACCACATTTCCTGACAAGCATCGAGAGTCAGCGTACGTACACGCTCAGAAATCATGTACCGGAGGCACGGCATTATATATATTGCTACTTGGCAGTCTTACTAATAAAGCTCCACCCATGCCTGGAGCTCCGGATTATCACTTCCAATCCGGTATGGAGAACCTGCCTTCTCGTGTCCGAAGGAATGTTAAGCTTGAGGCTTCCCTGAATAGAACCGGTAAATAGAATGCCAATGCTCGTCTATCACCTCGGCACGGTACGAGACATAGTGGGGGTCATACCCCTGTCGATGACCCGGCTAGAACACCCAATCAGGAAGACTTGGAACTTCTGTTAGCACCCAATCAAGGCTTAACCGCTTTCAGATCTCGACGTCCAGTAGATTGAAAGCTGATAGGGTAGAGCACCGAAGATAAGGAACTTTTCATCGCGTGCCTTGGGCGAAATAGGGAAGTGATCTTGTAAGATATGCCAATGATAAGGAACGGCACATCTTGCCGATTTAGAGTCGCATTGAATAGGGGATATCTCGAGACAATGTTAGTCTTCAATGACATAAACGGAAGCTGCGAAATGCGATGACCTTAGTAGTTTGGCAGAGGTTGAGGGATTTAGGTAAGCAAGCAGACTATATTTCCAAAGTCGTCAAAACTACTTTCTATACAAGATTATGTAATAGTACATGTAAAGACATTGAAGATAATATATATAGAAGAACGATGTAACCCCATCTTTCCTGCTGTAGAGCTGTACTTAATCTCTATAGAGGATATAGACTTGGAATTAAAAAATAGAGTTACATGATTAACATGCCCGTTGGGAATGGCTCTAAGTGGTGTTGCGTTGAAGATCCATGGATATCGCTTGAACAAAAGATCTTCGGATATCACGGCAGCGAGAGGCTGTCGCTTTATATCAGACGATCAGATTCGATGCCAAGCGATTTGCGCAGATCAAAGGCGTGATTCTGGGGTACCAATGTCACACTGCTCTATGACAAGAAGTTGATTGGATGAACAGTTCGGCATTGAGAGCTTAGTTTGGGCGCTTCAACGAGTGGACACCCTATCACATTAGCAAGTTGGACACGGAACCTGCCCAATGTGGTAGGTGCCTAGCTATCACGTCACGCTAGTGGCATGTGGCATTCAACAGAGCTATCCACACGACGATCACTCCATAGTTAGTATGAACACCATCTATAGTATCGAGACATGCGTAGAGCCTGGTTTGACTTGTCAAGCTTGGAGATAGCTATGCCCTCCATGATGCCGGTTTTCCGAGAAGTCGTGGATAGGTCAGGCCAACTGGAAACTCAAAGTGTTACTGGAGCAATTCGCCAGGTACCGCCGAGGGGTCTCGAATAACAAGATAACACAATAAAGGCGTCATACACTACGCCAAAGATCGTATTGACAATTATTTCAAGCCTCAGAACGGGGCAACGCTGCGGCCATGAACCTTAACATCCCGCCGAACAAGTGGGCTCAATGTACGAGGATAAACAACATGTTCCCCGCTGCGTTGGCAGGCCGTCAACTCGTATTGGCAACCCCAACAAATATAAATACGCGTGCAGCCTGGCTTTCATTTTCATTTCATCTCATCAACATCTAACCATCTCCTCCATCTTCCCTGAGTTCTCATACTACCAGCAACAATGCTCTTCGCAGTCACTCTCACTCTTGCCGCTGCGGCAGCTGTTTCAGCATCCCCCCTTGAGGCTAGGGCTAAAAAGACTGCCGTTCTCCCCTTGACGCACGTCGTCCATGCCAGCTCTATCAAGGCCATCGTCCAAAAGGGTCAGGCCCGTATTCGCAAAATCAATGATGAGTCCACTGTCCAACTCGATGCCGTTAGCTCTGGCTCTGTCACCAACGAGGATGTTTCGTACGTCGCGCCTGTCGTGATTGGAGGCAAGACCTGGAACCTCATTGTCGATACTGGATGTAAGTTACATATCCCCCAAGCATCGTTTGAACCGCACATTGACTTGATACAGCTTCAAACACTTGGTGTGGTGCTCAGACCTCGTGCGAGCCAACATCTACCGGCAAGTCTACAGGCAACTCTGTCAGCGTCTCCTACGGCTCTGGGTCATTCTCTGGCACCGAGTACAAGGACAAAGTCAGCTTTGGCGGTCTTAGTGTCGCAGCGCAGTCGATTGGTGCTGCGAGCAGTGCTAGCGGCTTCTCAGGTGTAGATGGCATCATCGGCTTCGGTCCTGTTGATCTGACTGAGGACACTGTCTCCAACACCAACACCGTTCCAACCTTCATGGACAACCTCTACAGCCAAGGATCCATCTCGTCTGAGGTGCTTGGCGTCTCCTTCAAGCCAGAGTCTGGCAGCGATGATAGTGACACCAATGGAGAGTTGACCCTTGGTGGTGTCGACAGCTCCAAGTACACCGGGTCCCTCACCTACTTCCCAACTCTTACCAGTGGCCAAGCTTCTCAATACTGGGGCATCTCTGTTTCTGGCTTTACCTACGGATCCACAAGTCTTGGTTCCGGCACCGGCATTGTCGACACTGGCACTACGCTCATCTACGTCCCTACTAGTGTCTACAACAAGTTCCTGTCTGCCGCTGGGGGTTCCACTGATAGCTCAACTGGCCTTGCTGCATTTACCAAGAAGCCTACCTCCAACTTCGGTATCAAGTTTGGGTCTACAACCTACACCCTCACACCCGCTCAGTACCTGGTCCCTACTGCTCAGTATAGCAACTTCGGTCTGAGCTCTGGCAAGTACTACTCCTGGATCGGCGATGGAGGTTCCTCTGGTGTCAACATTATTATTGGACAGAAGTTCCTTGAGAACTATTACTCTGTATACGATACCACTAACTCTCGTATTGGTTTTGCTACAGCTGCTTAAATCAATACTATGGTTCCAGAGACCATTAGCTTCGGAGGAATCTTCCTTCACACGGATGGAGAGGGGGGAGCATGACGTAGTTCTTAGTACATACTGAATTGAAGGAGAGTGTATATGCCCGAGCAGAAATGACATGCCGCAGTTTCACATATCGTATGAGAGTGTAAAAACAACTTGACCCGTGACTATATCTTTACCATGACTTCTACCCGAAAGACCTATATCCAATATTGAAGGAATGTCAACCGAACGAGACCACAGAAGTTCCTAATATAATCATATCTTCAGACAGCCAATGAGATAGCGTCACTATTGAGACCAGCCTCCCAAGAGCCATGATAGAGCTTCCCACGTTCCATGTTAATCGTCCGTTAGTCGCTTGATGCATTTTGGCTGTTTGATAGCCGCATCAAGTTAAATAAGGAGCGGCAAGCTCGGACGACATAGCGGCAGATGTGAAAGTTAAAATAGTTTGGTATAAAAGGACTATCTAGCTTGTCGCAGCGCACGATGTAACTATTAAAGTTTAGTGATATATGTCTACAGTATCTTTACAATGCAACTCTGTATAAACCTGAATTAAAGTTGCTTAAAGTTTAAACTTAAATACCCCTTAATATAGAAAACTCTATTAAACGCTACCTTTCGACAGTTTAAAAAAGAAGACCAGCCCGTTTATATATCAGTTCGAGGTTTATGTTTATCTATAGTTTTTCAATTACATTTCGCCCTGGAAATACTCATCCATGCTTCGCTATAGCCTTATTATAACCCTTCTCCTATTCAGAGTTATACACGCTTCCAAACACTACCATGGACTGCATAGCCATTGTCACCACAGACGATCAACTACTCACCATTCGTTCATAAGTGAAGGTGCATTAAATCGAAGCTCAGATAACGTCTTCGCGAGAATCTCGCACGATCCGCCGATTCTAGTTCCCTCCAGGGCAGATCACCCACAAAAGCCCGTCGGAGTAGACAATAAGAATAACCCTATTCAAACCAACAAGTTCTATGCCAACTTCTTTGCCAACAATCAGGATAATGCGACATGGACTCACCCTTACTCGGTCTGGTGGTCCAATGACACGGTCAAACAAGGTCACGGCTTATCAATCTCTCATACGGACAGGCGCGACTTTATATACGGACCCGGAGATCCCGTAAAGTCTTTTGAAGATCCTGCGTTTCGCCAATCAATCGCTCTTTCGGCGCGAGAATTACAGAATGGAACCGTTTTGACCACGGACTCACTGACTGCATTCTCTGTTAATGTGAATCTTGCACCGAGGAGAGGTGCGAAGCCTCTTATATCGTTCCCTCTCATCCAGGGCATGGCTTTCGTCACCGGGGTCTATAGCAAAGCCACTGTCGTTATTCAATCTCCGAAGCGGTTCTCGAATATTGCCGACCTTCGTCTGAGTGCTGCCGGCTCCGGCCCCTCGGTGTATGGGTGGAATGTCCAATTGGGCGACGGGTCGAGTTGGTTGATCTACCTTACCCCAACCTGCCTCTCTGAGAGACCAGCCCTTCAAATCACTGACAAAGGAACAATCCTGGGTCCGAGGAACTTTACTGGAACAGTGCAAGTTGCCAAGAATCCCGCTGGAGCAGCTGGCATCGACGTTTTTAACAAAGCTGCTGGAGTGTACCCAGTTGGTGCCACCATTTCGGGCACTGTTTCCGGCCGCACTGGGACGTACACCTTGGCCTGGACGAAGAAAGGCCTAGAGCAACGAACATTGCTCATGTTTGGATTGCCACATCACGTTGCGTCATTTAGCGCAGAGACCGCGAGGGGTATTACCAACATCGCGTTAGCCAGCACAACCAAGGGAATGGCCACGGCTGTAGTTGCAAACCAGTTCACTATGGTGGAGTATGAGCTCCCTACAGAGATTGGATTCGATCCATGGTCACCGCGTCTAGGATCGGTGGGCTCTAAGGGCTCCGCAGCAACTGTATCTCGAGATGCCAAAGCGGCGATCATCAAGGCTGCAAAAGTTGAGCTCGCCCGGGATATCACAAAACTTACCAATCTTACATCTAAGTACTATGGTGGAATCGCCTTTTCGGTCTACGCGAGAACATTGTATGCTGTCCATAACATTGCTGGAGACACGTCGCTCACAGCTAGTTCGCTTGCAAAGCTTGAGGCTGCTTTTGACAGGTACGTCAAGAATGAGGAACCAAATCCTCTATGCTACGATACCGTGTGGAAGGGTCTGGTCTCTTCTGCGTCGTATGGCAATAACGGCTCCTCGATCGACTTCGGCAATACATACTACAACGATCACAACTTTCACTATGGCTACTATGTGTATACTGCCGCAATCATTGCCCACTTTGATCCCTCTTGGTTGAACAAGAATGGAGGAGTGAACAAGGTTTGGGTCAATAACCTGATCCGTGACTGGTCCAATCCATCAGCAGAAGACCCTTATTTCCCCTTTTCACGATCCTTCGACTGGTTCCACGGGCACAGCTGGGCCCGGGGTGTCCTCGAGGCACCTGACGGCAAGGATCAAGAATCTTCAGCCGAAGACGCTTTCTCAACCTACGCTATCAAGATGTGGGGTAAGGTAATTGGTGACGCCAATCTTGAAGCCCGTAGCAACCTCCAACTTGCGGTGACAGCACGCAGCCTGCAGTCGTACTTCCTACTGGCAAGCGGTAACACCGTCCAACCAGCCAACTTCATTGGGAACCGCGCGACGGGCATCCTCTGGGATAGAAAGGTCAATCACACGACATACTTTGGCGACGAAATCGCCTACATCCAAGGGATTCACATGCTTCCGATTGTGCCGAGCAGCGCGTATGTCCGCAAACCTTTCTTTGTACGTGAGGAATGGGATCAGTATTTCGCTGGCAACAAGTCTGGATCTCTCAGCACCGGCGGTTTCGCAGGCCATATCTATGCAAATCTCGCGATTGCAGACAAGGCCGGCGCCATTGAGAGTTATGCATTCTTCAAGAAGCAGACTCCTGATAGTCCCTTTCTCAGCGGATCGAGTCTCACTTGGGACCTGGCGTATACGGCCGCGTTGGGAGGAAGTTTGGCATCTAACGTGTCTGCGAATCCAACGCATCTTTTGACCTGACAAATACACTATGGACAGTTACTCACCGGCCGGAAACAACGGTATTATTAGCTTGGGCATGGTTGATTTGCGAAGTGTGCAATTCATAGTCTAGATAATCTTTTGAATAAGTGAGAACCTGAGCCTCTTTTTGTCGCATTACCCGGCAATACTTCTTCTTGTCCTATGGCGCATCATTCGGAATGTCATGCTTTATCGCTGATGTCATGTGACTGATTGGTAAGAGACAAGACGATCTACCCCTCACCTGTGAACAAGTTCACGCTGAACTAGAAATCGGATTTAAACTTAAAACCCGTTATATAAACTCTCTGCAAACATACCTGGTTAAATTCACCCTGCTTTCGATCTTACCTGCCGACCTCTTGAGTCCATCCTGCCAACATGCCCCAACTTCCCGCCCGGCAAGGTGTAGCCATCCGGCTTAAACAGGGCCAGAGTCTCCAAGTCATCAACACGCATGGAAAGCAAGTGGTCGACTTTTGGGCTTTTACCTGGGAAGATGGTCATGAATATCTATCGACCAGTCACACTCGAGCAATGCTTTCAAGCATCTCTTTGCGCAAGGGAGACAAGTTATACAGTTGTCGGCGCAAACCCATCTTGACTCTTGTCGATGACACAACCCCAGGCATCCACGACCTACTCTTCCCCGCTTGCGATGCTGAGCGCTATCGCCAATTGGGTGCTGTGGGGTATCATGGCAGTTGTCACGATAACCTGCACAGAGCCCTGATAGACTTGCCTAGGATCAAGCCCAGAGCCGGTTGGGTCCCAGATCCGTTAAATCTGTTTATGAATGTGGCTGTGGATCATCATGGGGGAATTAATATCCGTGCTCCTACCAGCGACAAGGGCCAATATGTCATCCTGCGAGCCGAGGTCAATCTTGTTGTTGTCATGAGCGCGTGCCCTCAAGATATGGTCAATGTTAACGGTGAGGGGCCTGCTGATTGCGAGTATCGTGTTCTTGAGGAATCTATATAAAGTGTGATATGGAGAAAATGAGAAACGGTTGGCCCCGAGAGGTTCTGCGAAACAGTTTCTCACTTTGTAGCCTTTCAGATTATCTAGATTGTCAATTTTGAAAGCTTCTTAGATACCGAATTCTCCCTCAATAAATGTTCCATGTGGCCCTAAAGCATAGACCTGTGGCATATCGGCACGAGCAATCTCCTTGAAAGTATTGGCGTTTATGGCGACAAGAACGCTATGAGTAGCCTCGCGATTTATGACGATGGTCAGCACGATGCCATCGTCCTCATCTCTAGCTCCTGGACGCTGGATGAAAATAGGTTCGCAAGGCGCACTCTCCCCATTCTCCGGCCACCATTCTTTGAAGGTTCCAGTCTCCCAGTCGCACTTGGTAACGTGACTGAGAAAACTGCAATGCACCGCTTTCAAGCCATTTCCTAAGCGACCAATGGGGACACTGGTACCGGGGGATGGTCCGCCATGGCCCGAGATACCGTAGACATAACGATAGCCATGGACCATCGAAGCGCTCTTGGCGATCCGTGGCAGCTCTAGGAATGTTCCTCCGATAGCAGCCTTGGTTGTGGCCTGCGTGAATGTGGTAGGGTCGACTTTTCCCACGCTTTCAAGCTCGTAGCGTACCAAGACACCGTCTTGGAATGGCGCACTAGGATCTAAGATGTTGCTGAGATGATAGTCGTTGTAAGGAACGCGATCTGAGTATGCACAGAGGTCAATGTGGATATTAACCTCGTTCGTAAGGGGATCCACGTAATCATAGCCATTTACGGAATGGAAGAACATGATGTTATCTGGAAGATGATATGAAGCGATACTAAGATACAGAGTTAGAACTTGTACTATGTATACTTGTGGAGATGTATGGAGTGCAGGCTGGGCTTACTGTTTTCCAGTGCTCTTGTCGAGTACGAAGAATTCGGTAGGAGAGTCAGGCTCATAAACCATTGACTGAAGGAATCCCTTAGTGGTGTCCGACAAGTCCATAGAGATAGGCTAGACAGATGTGAGTGAGGTTGGTCAGGCTGCGGTACAGTAGATTTACTCACGTTGCGAATGAAAATAACATAGTTGCTAGACATGGCCATCGAGTGAACATAGCATGGCCTGCAAGGGATAGGAGTCTTCCACAACAGTTTGCAAGGGTTGGTCTTGAGATCGAGTGCGAAGATCGACAAGACACCAGTCTCAGGGTTGATGAGGTAGTTGTATTCCTCACCTCTATGCCGATCTTTGAGAGTATGGGAGCAGATGCCGAATCCCTCGAGCTCGGGATCAATGGCTGCATAGGTGAGCATGCGTTTGGGTTCGAGCGTTTTTCCATCAACGACCTGGAGCATGTTGAAGTCGGTGGAGACGAGTATCTATCAAACATTAATACCCCGGCAGTCAAGACTAGAAGAGGAATTGTTACCTCTTCTTTCTCCGGTCTCTGTGAGGGTGTGCCTTTGTCGTTAGGATTTCCATTTGTAGGTATATGAAAACCTCTGCGAGGTAGGATGTTGACGTTGAACTCGTCAGGGCCAATGTGGCCCGTTGGGATCCAGACTGATTGTTGTGCACCAAGAAGTGCCGAGCAAGGATCCTGAGCGTCCTTAAGCGGTGTATTTGCATTTAGCCCCGCCATCAAAGTTTGCAAAAAGCCATTCTTCTTGGCTTTTTTAACTACGCCCTCAGCGGTGTAGCGGCTGGTGTAGTAAACGCGGCCGCCTTCCATACGAAATTTATGGAGCATGGCTAACCCGTCGAACCAGTGTTGCGATACTGCATTAGGCTTTGAGCCGTCCTCGGATAGAGGAACGACAAAACGACCGACTCCCATGCTATATAATATGCGTTAGCTGAGGATACAGGGAAACTGATTGCGATACAGGGAGTTTCTCGTGTCCCAGGATCGAGCAACCAATCGAGGGCTGGATTGACGAACCGAATGAAAGTACCATTGACCCAATCAGGCCAAACCCCTGAAGTGTTACACTCTACCTCATTGGGAGTTTCGTCCACTCCCTGAAGGTAAGGCGGCAGGTATTTCAGCTTCTCCTCAGTCACAAAGTAGGGCTGTTCCTTTACTCGAGATGTAGTCGACATGGTGAAGAATGGCGAAAAGTATGATATGAGAATGATTGGTGATTCTCTAGTTAGTAGCTTGCTTTAGTTGTTTTTCATTCTTGTTGATATAAACCTGAACCACTAAGACGAACGAGATTTTATATTCCAACCTTGTGATACGAGGACTAGCTGGGGCATTCTCGGGAGTCGGGACGCCATGATCGAGAGCGCGACAAGTCATGAACTCATTACAGTGTGAGACGGGGCACTCTCGGTAACCTACCCTAGTAATACGAGAATTCAGACTTGTCGACATCAGTTGGCATGAAATAAAGTGAAGAAATCGGCGATCGGAAGTATTGTAACTTCCGAAACCTCCGATGACATAAGGCTTCTTCCACATGGGGTTTACGGACAAGCTATTCCCCATCAAGACATTTTATCGAACAGGAAGTCCAACAATTGGCTAAGCATACGTGTCATTTTAGCCAATTGAAGGTCTGATAAAATTTCGTCCCTCAGCTTTACAATTAGCAAGTTGCCTTGCCGCCTTTCAGTACAAAGGAAGCAGTGCAAGAGGAAGAATGAATCCCCACGTTTTCGACCACAGTTCTAGTCATGAACAAAGAGATGACTTGTCTTTGCTTTTGCAGGCAGCCGAGATGGGAGATCTGGTAACCGTCACCAGGCTGCTGACATCAACGGACAGTCACTATATCGACCTGAACTATCAAGACAAGACCGGCACTACAGCGCTTTCACGTGCTGCAAGGATGGGTCGCACAGAGATTGTGAGATATCTACTCTCGTGGCCTGATATATCCGTAAACTGTGCTGATGAGTTTGGCTGGACACCGTTATCGTGGAGTGCACGGTACGGTGACCATGACGTGGTGCAGCTGCTGCTAGCTCACCCGCACACAGCAGCTGATCTCGCCGATGAGACCGGAATGACGCCTTTGATGTTTGCATCACGTAAAGGACATGCCGAGACTGTGCGCCGTCTGCTTGACTCAAACCGAGTCGACATAAACCTGCGCGATAACGACGGTCGTACTGCATTGTCCCACGCGGCCGAAAATGACTGGGCGTGCGATGCAGTAACAGCACTTCTGCGATATCCCACAGTTGAAGTCGAAGCCAAAGACCATTCTGGATGTTCGCCTCTGTCTTGGGCAGCTCAAGGAACTGCAACGACCAATGTACAGACATTATTGCAGTGCTCTGGCGTAAACCCAGACTCTAGTGATTACGAACAGCGGACACCATTGTACTGGGCCGTAGATTGGGCAGCGGTGGAAGTCGTGGCCTTGCTACTTTGCGACGATAGAGTCAATCCTGAAGCAGCCACTGTTTTTGGGGATACGCCAATTATGTTAGCTGGGGTCACAGGGAAAGAGCACATTTTACATCTACTTCGGGAGAAGGTTAACTTACGGTAAGTCGGGTTCAGAATGGTATTACTTTTAGGATATGATTTTTTTCTTCTATATATAGAATTAAAAGTTAGTTTATTTGCCTGCTTTTAAGTTAGCTATTATAGTTTAGAATTCCTATAAGTATTTAGCAAAGTGTTAAAGGAGCAACTAGCAGTAGCGATTGTCTAGCTTTTTATACATTATTTTAATACTTTATATACTTAAGCTTTATAGCACTGTTACACACGATAATATTTCAGTATAGAAAAATTGCTAATTTATTAAAAAGAGGATAGCGCTAATCCACTATTGAATATATGAATTATATAGTACAGACATAGGAGATAAGATAGCAGCATATAGCACAAAAGGCCATGTAGACATGAAGACAAAGGAAAGAAGGCAGTGACTAAAATAGTTAGAAGCTGGCCATGATATGTGAATATAGGAAACAAAGCTGACAAAAAAGGGATTCGAAGCTATCGCACAAGATATACATAGGAAATTTGTCAATCTTTGAGGTTGCGCCCTAGACAGGGAGAGTTTGGCTGTCAATACACCTCGCTCCATCATTAGAGCTGGCCGCAGGACCTGTTGCAATGAAAATAGGCGAGCCTGCTGTTGGCGCCACAGGGAACTTGAAGATTTGGCCGCTGCTATTTTCGGAGCCATACAGGTTTCCGTCCTGGGAGGCATATACAGCACCCCAGAAGTTTGAACCGGCAACAGCACCATAAGCTTTAACAGTCGTCCAGGTATACGATGTACGACTGAAACGAGACAGAGTCGAGGTTAAGCCAGCGCTATCGCCCATGACTGCATACATATAATCACCACCACCAGGAACAAAAGCCCAGTCGCCTGCAGTAAGGGTAGTAACGGCTGTACCACTCATCAGGATCTTCCCATAGGTTGCTGAACCTGGCATCAGGTCAATGCACCACCAAGCCTTTGCAGACGTAGCAATCCAGTATCGGCCTAGATTATCGATGTCGCCCATGTTGACACTGCGGTCTGAGGTGCGTGTAGCCAAAAGGGTGTAGGAGCCGTCGCCAGCAATGCGGATAACTTGCGTACCAGTAGCATCCTGCAACATGCCGTAAATAAAATTGTCGAACTTATTGTACCCAATAGCGTTGATATTGCCACCGGGTCCGACAAGGGCATTGATGAGAGTGGTTTTTCCAGAAGTGAGATCAACACGGTAGAATGCAGTCTTTTGTATGAGGTAACCGTAAGTGTCGCAATTCAATGCAGGTTGAGAAGCGGCAGAGGATGTTGCCGCAGCTGGCAGAGAACTTGGTGTTGCAATAATCACGGTGGCAGGATCACCAAGCTGACCAGGCAGTTGGGTTGATGTAACTGGGCCGTTGATTGTAGTACCACCATTCGTGGTTATCGTAACAGTGTAGGGGAGAGGATATTGGATGAGGACAGTGCCAGGGCTGCCTAGAGCCGTTGCAGAGACAAAGGCAGTCGTGGCCTTGGTGAGAGTACTGACTGTTTGCGTTGTCGTGATGTTGTAGGGAGCAGGTACTTGAACGATTGCCGTAGCGGGATCTCCTACACTGCTGGGCATCGCTATCGTCGTCACAACCAGAGAAATGGTTGAAACGGTAGTGGTAACAGTGACTGTCGTCGAGGGAGGTAGGTTTATCGAAGTGGGGTCCAAGCCTACGCATCTGGCACCATCACCTGAGAGGTTGAGAATGGTACCGCCCGGGATAGCCGTAGGGTTGGAGGTACTTCCTAGAGTGAACTTCCACGTCTGCCCGAGTGTATTTTCCTGTGCGTATAAAGTGCCGCCTGGGCCAGCCATTACAGCTCCCCAGTCGAGGTTCAAGGTGGTAAGGACGAAGTTGCTGTATGACTGATAGCGCTCCCAAGTCTGTGTTGTAAGTGACCATCGCACAATGTTTGTACGAAGAAGGCCTGACTCAATGACCGAAGCCTGTACAGCATATAGATAGTTTCCTGCGCCGGCTATATAGGCCCAGTCACCAACACCTGAGATAAGGTCGGTAGCAGACGTGCCACTCTTTAGCAGTGTGCTGAATGTTGAGGAAGTAGGGTTAACGTCGATGCACCACCATCTACTTCCGCTCTCAGATACCCAAAGGCGTCCTTGGTTATCGACATCCCCCATATCGATGATAATTGAAGGAATCGTAACCGGTAGGATCTCATAGGCACCATCCTGGGCAACGCGGATGAGACTAGAGCTGAGCCCTTGGATGACCATACCGTAGATATAATTGTCGAGAGTATTATACCCAATGGCATTGATGACACCAGGGCCAATACCATTGGCCACCGTAGAGCGGGTGCCATCGTTGAGATTGACTTGCGTAAGAGTGTTACCCAGTAGATTGGACATAACATATCCACTACCGTCACATGTAAACGGTGGGCCAAAGACAGTCTTTGCGTCCGGGCACCTAGCACCGTCTCCCTGAAGGTTGAGGATAGAACCACCTGGGATAGGAGTAGGATCGGCACTGCTCCCAATAGTAAACCTCCATGTCTGGCCGAGTAAATTCTCCTGTGCCCACAAGGTATTCGGCCCTGCCATAACAGCGCCCCAGACCAGATTTGTAGCAGTGAGAACGAGGTTAGGATATGACTGATAGCGTTCCCATACATAGGTTGTGCGTGACCAGCGGACGATATTTGTACGCAAAAGACCAGATTCAATGACCGAGGCTTGCACGGCATAGAGGTAGTCACCTCCTCCGGGCACGTACGCCCAATCGCCGACGCCAGCAAGAATATCAGTAGCTGATGTGCCGCTGCTAAGAAGCTTGCCAAACGTAGGCGAGGCAGGATTGACATCAATACACCACCACTTCTTGCCATTTTCGGAAACCCAGAAGCGGCCTTGATCATCAACGTCACCCATATCAATCGTGTTGGATGGAATAGTGAGAGGCAATGTTTCGTATGCACCATTCTTAGCGATGCGGATGAGTTGGGACGAAGGACACCCAAGCAGTAGGCCGCAGAGCGCTCCACTGACGAGACCTTGGTTGACCACACCGTAGATGTAGTAATCAAGCTTGTTGAAGCCGATGGCGTTGATGGCACCTGAGGCCCCAGCGACATTGAGAAGGGTACCGCCTGGACCGATACCATTCTTGATAGTGGTACGTTGACCGGTGTTTAGATTGACCTGTGTAAGAGTATTGCCGAGAAGAGTTGACATCGTATAGCCATAGCCATCGCAGTCGAACGTGGGACCGAAAGAAGCCTGCGGCATCTTACTGCTAGTGCTTGAAGAAGTGGACTTGATGGCAGAACTGCTGATCTGAGGGGCCATAGTTGTCGTTGTCAGTGTCGAGCTGACAGGAGTGGGGAATTGGATGAGAACAGTTCCCGGACTACCTGGTGCTGTAGCAGGCACAAAGCTAGTTATGACCTGGTTGATGGTGGCAACTGTTTGGGTAGATGTGACGTTATAAG